CTTGGCAAGCTAGTGGTTGCACAGTTTTTTGTTTTCTCGGACCTCCTACCCGACACATGCTTCGAAACTGGAGATGGACTTGTCTTTGGTACCACCACACCACGAGAAACTACCCCCACAACAACCTAGGTGCTAGAGACCATAGCCAGATGTTCCGATGTACCATAGCTTGCACTTAAGACTCAGCAGACTTAGCACTTAGCCCCAAGGCCCCGCAGGTGAGTACAAAACAGCAAACATGCGGAGGAAGTGATTGGACCCGGTACACTTGAAGTGGAAGCATGATGGAAGTGGAAAAGAACCACCGGTTTGTAGAGGAACGTCATCCTTCCGGGGCCCACGGAGCATCATGAGGCCAGGGAGAGAAGTGGGTTCAAACTGGTTGAAGAAGGTTGACCAAGCCCCAGGCCAAGAGGAATAGTGTATATGTTTTGGGAGTGCACATTAAACCCAAGTTTGATATGTGTGGACTGCGCTCCAAAAAAAAAACAGTGAAGTGTGAAGCTGCAATTTAAGCGTTCAATGCGTATATACAGGAGGGTCGTGTACTTATTGTTTCTCAGGAATCACTTGCCACTTCAGTGTCAGTTCAGAGTAACATGTACGGCGAAAAGAAGTTCAGTGAGGTTCCGTGGTTCCTTGGTTCAGCTCATGGTGGAAGGATGTGGAATGCACGGTCGGACCAGGACCATCCCATATGGAATGCTTTTCAGTCCCATCCAATCCTCACGGGGCCGTCAGACATATCTGGTCCTGAGTTGTTTTTGTGTGGTTTGTGTGTTTTGTTTTTTTTAGCACAACACATTCATAGACCTTGAACTTCGAGTTTGTCAAAGTCATCAGTTACTGAGTCATAGGTGGGCTATTGATTTGATCAACAGAACTGCTCGGATCATTCCAGCCGATGAGTCTTCGAAGGTGATATTGATCCTGTCCACCATCCTGTGCGTGCTTCTGAAGAATGCTGTGGCCTTCATGGGAGACTTAGATCCACTTGGACCTCGGGACAAAGAAGGAATGGACCTCCGGAACTGCGTGAAGTGTAGGAAGGCTGGAGGTCATGACCAAAGGCTTGACCCATCTTCACTCGCTAGATTCCTGAAAGACTACAGTCCAGCAAAATTGACTGAAATTCCTGTTCCTCTCGGGGGGTTGGTACCTGTAGGGCTGTAAGATTTCTGCTTACAGCCAGTGTTTACAGTTTCCATGTGACATGTCCCGTCCGGTGTCAAAGCCCACAGGACAGGATGAGGTGGAGGGAGCAAACAAGATAGCAAAGAGGACATTTGTCCACAGTTTCCAGAGTTGATCGTGGGAATTTGTGGGTATTTGGGTCTTAGAACCTTTACTCAGATTCCAATCTGTGAAACTCGTTAACTTTTCATGCAAACGGTGAACGTGGGCATTGGGTGTGCATCTCAACTACTAGACAAGCTCAGTGAACATGCAGCTTCATGGTGACCCATAGGGCCCCCATGGTGTTTCGTGTTTCTTGTTTCTCTCCGCTGACACCCCCGGAGAACCTTTCAGAGGCGTCTGCATGCGCCTCCACCTCAGGGGCCCCATGTAACCACATTCAGGAGACTTGGTGGGCATTCTGCCAGCCAATTGTGTTTGTGTGGTCTTCCCCTGCTTGGCCTTCCTCAAGTTGCCACTCGGCGGAGCAGAGGGCATCGTGAAGCTGGTGAGTGACCGGCCGTGAATGAAGCGTGAATGAAACGGGTCTGGCATCGTGAGGCCTTTTCATGTTTTTGGCGAGAAGATCAGGGAAATTCCCATGTTACAATGTTCAAGATCAGAGAAATGAGGATATTGTTGATACAGCCAAAGTTCTTTTTGTGCAAACAACAATGGCACAAGCAAAAGGTGTTGGGAAGATTGTGTTGACCACATGGTATGTGTTCATTTTTTCAGGGTGTCGTGTTCAAGCTTTCTTTGGCCGGGATGCAGTAATGACTTCGCATCTGATTCACTTGGGTTTGAGTGAGGTGTTCCGCACTCACTCTTCAGTGGATGGTGCAGACCCCAAACAAAAGACCACGTTCCGATACACGTCCGATATATCTTCCACCAAACCATGCTTGCAAAAAGGGTGCTAATGTTCTCAGGATGGTCTGAATGGCCAGGGTAGCTCTTTGATACACCTTTTCATGACGGTTGTGTTGCACAGTTTCCGGTCCATCCAGCGAGGTTGTTTCATGTGTTATTGTGTTTTTTGCTTTTTTAAATGTTTGCTCTGACACGAGAAACACATGCAACCTCCAGGATCTATTTATTTATTGGTTGGTTCATTTGTATCCTGCATGAGTTTGCGGCTCGAATTCCTCCCAGCTGGTCTTACGGGGTCGGCTGAAGATTCGAGGTAGGTTTGCCATGCAGTGGCACAAGGTGCTTCCACCCCCCACCGTGGGGCAGAGGTGGTCAGGCGTGGTGCTCGCAAGGAGCAGTCTAGCGGATGAGGGGATGTGCCTCTTGGTAGATCATGAGATGGAAGCTCGGTTCCTTGGATGCGCCTTGGCTGGGGGTCATTCGACGGTGTATCAGGCTGTGGTGGCCTCGCTTGCACCTCTGACCCTCACTTGTGACTTGGCCACCAAAGTGATCCACCATCGTCCTTGTCAGGAGAACTCTTGGCTGAGGATTAAGGAGATTTGTGCAGGCCTTGGAGGGCTTGGGATGGGATGCCAGTCAGTTGGAGCGGTGATCTGTGCTTCCGTTGACACCTCCTCTTTGTCCTGCATCCAACTTCAAGCTTGTTTTCATGGCCAAGTGATACATGGCAGCATTTGTGATGATGACATCGTGTGCCAGTTGCACCAAGCAGGAGGTTGTGAGCCTGCCGTGCTTACGGCAGGCTTCCCTTGCCAACCCTTTTCGCCCCAGGGCGATGGCCGAGGTTTCTCAGACAGCCGTACCGATGCCTATTGGGGAGTTCTCCGAACAGCACTCCTGATGCGGCCAGTGGCTTTGATCTTGGAATGCGTACCACGTGCTGGACAAGATCATACAATTCAAGCGAGTCTTCATGCCTTGGCTGACAAGCTGCAGTGGAGAAAGTGTGATGTTGTCCTTGCTCTTCAGGACATTTGGCCAGCTGTTCGCACTAGGTGGTGGTGTTTGCTACTTCCTTGTGAATGTCCTGACCCAGACCTCCGCTCGTGGACACCGGCTTCTGCTCCACCGGTCTTGCGACAGCTGATCCATGACTGGCCACTATGGGATGACCAAGATGAAGGTGAGCTCACACTGTCTCCTGAGGAACTTCGCCTTTTCTTTGATGAGGCCTATGGCAGAGATGTCAGAATCTTAGACATGTGTAAGCCTTGCCCGGTGGTTCTTCATAGCTACGCCAACCTGTTGAGGGACTGCCCTTGTGGCTGCCGGAAGCAACTTCGTGCTGCACGTCTACTTCAAGATGGAGTCCGAGGGTTCTGTATTCGATCGCCACGAACAGGACAGTACCGATTTCTGCATCCTCGTGAATTGGCCCTGATCTTGACTGTTTCGCCCGGGGTTTTCTTTGCTCATGCGTGTAGAGACACATTGAGTCTCTTGGGGCAGATTGCAGCTCCAGCTCAATCCGCATGGGTTTTTGCCCACCTTTGTCGATCTTTTGAGATGGCCTATCATGGAGCTTCGTTTACTGATCCAGGAGAATGCCTTCAAGCCCTTTGCCGGAGCTTACGGCAGGTCCAGCATGACACGTGGGTCCTACCTTCCTCTATTACTCCAGCTCCCATCAATGTCGTTGACTCTGATGGATGCTCCCTTGGATGTGTGCGAGGAGGCCTGACTACGGTTGAGCAATTCCTGCAAGCCGAAACTCTCTTCTCGCAATGGGGGCAGAAGCAGCGATTGCTGGATGGAGGCCGAGT